AAAGACAAAATAAGAAAAACTATTCATAAAAATCAGTGAACAAAGAGATAAAAACTATAAAAAACAGTAGAAATTGTGAAACTGAAAAATTACAATTGTTGAAAAATTCACTAATGAAACAACAGACTTAATGAACCAGAAGAAAGAATCAGAAAACTAAAGGAATATTATTCATAAATATCAAGACATTGAAACAAAAAACAAAAAAATTGAGGAACATGAACATGGAATATGAAACTTCTTAGATATTATCAAGTAGACCAATATAGTCATGAAAAAAGTCCTTGAAGCAGGCAGAGGAAAAAAGTGGTAGAGAGGTTATTTGAAGAGAAAAAGGGTACACTAAGAACTTCCTAATTTCAAAGTGATGAAAAAAAAATACTATTAACTAGAGATACCTAATCTGGGAGAAATTTACTTTAAAAATAAGAAGAAAAAAAAAGCCAGATGTGGTGGCTCACGCCTGTAATCCCAGCACTTTGGGAGGCCGAGGTGGGTGGATCACGAGGTCAGGAGTTTAAGATCAGCCTGACCAACATAGTGAAACCCCATCTCCACTAAAAATATAAAAATTAGTGAGGCATGGTGGCATGCTCCTGTAATCCCAGCTACTCGGGAGCCTGAGGCAGGAGAATCACTCGAACCTGGGAGGCGGAGGTTGCAGTGAGCCTAGTTCATGCCACTTCACTCCAGACTAGGCGACAGAGTGAGATTCCATCTCAAAAAAAAAAAAAAAAAAAAAAAAAAAAAAAGACTTTCCAAAATAAACAAAAGCTAAGGGTGTTTATTACCCCTAGAAAGTCTTGTAAGAAAACGACATGGAGTCCATTATGTTAGCAGACATGTTGGTTCACACTTGTAACCCTAGAAACTTGGCAGTCTGAAGCAGAAGAATCACTTCAACCTAGCAGTTTGAGATCGGCCTTGGTGATATGGTGAGACCCCTTCTTGACGAAGGGACCCTTATAATAATATTGTTTTTTGGGAATAGGGTTTTAAAAACTTGCTAAAGCCAAAGTCTGATTGGAGTCATTTTGAGAAGGCAGCCCTTCATTCATGTGGCAAACTTGAGAACCCTTGGTCTTGGCCACAGAACAATAAATGATTCACCTATATTGATAGCACTTAAAATTCTGCAGTGACTGTAATTATCTCCAGCTCCTTCCAGCCATGGTCTAGGAGTTGTACCTGCACATCTGGAGATCTGGAGGGAGATGCCTATTTGTAATTATAGACGTAGGCTTCCAGACCTTGGACTTTACTGTGCTCTCTGAAACAGTTCAGTGACTCAGTTTCAGAACTTTTAGCCCCAGTCTGTGACCAGTTTTGCCCACCTAGAAACCCACAGAATGACTTGCAGAAATCCTGCCAGGTACTCAGCAAGAGTCACACTCATCCACACACCTCATCTTAGGTCCACCATATGCTCACCAAGCTGCAGAATGCCGCCCTAGTGCTAGCCCTACAAATCAAAGTGCTGAAAACAATCCAGCCTGCCAAGAAATAAGAGAGGGTTAACAACTATCCACTAACTACACACTAAATACAAACTCCACTGCAGGTCAAAAAGCAGCCATATGACCCACTTACAACCCCTCTGCACTGCAAACCCAGAAGGGATCCTATTAGCCAATTGACCCAAAAGATGATCTTACCTGCTGAAACCAGTCTATAAAATTGGAAGAGGTGTTTTCTCCTTCAGTTTCACAGAAACCAACACAAGAGAACACAGGGTCCATTTTTAATGTTTCTGTTTTAATATAGTACTGGTAGTCCTAGGCAGAACAATTAGGCAATAAAACTTTTGAAAAGACATCCAGCCAGGTGCAGTGGCTCATGTCTGTAATCCCAGCACTTTGGGAGACTGAGGTGGGAGGATCGAGCTTAGTAATTTGATACTTGCCTGGGCAATTTAATGAGATCTCATCTCTACAAAACTTTAAAATATTAGCCAGGTGTGGAAAATGCACACCTGTAGTATCAGATACTTTGGAGGCTGAGGTGGAAGAATTGTTTGAGCCCAAGGGTTAAGGCTGCAATGAAGCATGATCACACCACTGCACTCTAGCCCGAGTGACAGAATGAGATCCTGTCTCAAAGGAAAAAAGAAGAAAAAAAGGATCCAAATTGAAAAAAAAAGCAGTAAAAATGTCATTGTTCTTAGGTGGCATTATCTTATATATAGAAAACCATGACTAGTACACCAAAAGACTGTTTCAGCTAATAAACACACTCAATAAATTAGAGAAATATAAAATTAATATATAAGTCATTTGTGTTTCCATACACTAACAACAAACTGTCAAATAAAAAAGAAAAATAATAATTTCATTGATATAGCATCAAAATAATGAATTTCTTAGCAATATATTTAGCCAAGGTGAAAAAGTCTTTACAATGAAATATTTAAGATATTAATACAAAATTTAATATGACACAAATAAATGCAAAAATATTTCATGTTTATGGATAAAACAATAAATATTTTTAAAATGTCAAATTATTTAATCTATAGAGTCAATACACGCCCTATCAAAATTCCAGTATAATTTTTTTAAAGTAATAGAAAATGCAATCCTGAAATTTATATGAAACAAGATACTTGCCTTGAATAGCCAAGGCAATTTTGAGGAATGAAAACAAAGCAGGAGGCATTATACTTTCTGATTTCAAACTACATTTGAAGACTATTGCAATAAAAACAGGACAGTCTGTGCATACAAATGCACACCACAATCAGTGAATCAGAATGGAGAACCCAGAAACAAATCCATCCATATAAGATCAATTTATGTTTGACACAGAGGCACTGGGAATACACAATGCAGAAACTATGGTCTCTTCCATACTTGGTGCTGAATACCCAGAAGTAAAAAAATAAAATTAGAACATTTTTCTGATACTATATTTGAAAATTAACTAAATATAAAATAAAGACTCTAATGTAAGACATTTAAGAAAATGTAAGAAATGTAATGTAAGAAAAAATTTAAAGACAAAATTTTTATGAGGAAACCTTAATATTGGTCTGGAAAATTAATTTTTGGATACCGCTGTAAAAGTACAACAATAAAAGCAAATATAAACAAGTTGGACTGCATCAAACTAAAACGCTTCTGCACAACCAAGAAGACAATACAATAAAATAAAATAAAAATAAAATAAAATAAAATAGGCAGGGCGTGGTGGCTCATGCCTGTAATCCCAGCACCTTGGGAGACCGAGGCGGGTGGATCACGAGGTTAGGAGATCGAGACCATCCTGGCTAACACGGTGAAACCCCATCTCTACTAAAAATAGAAAAAATTAGCCTGGCGTGGTGGCGGAGCCTATAGTCCCAGCTACTCGGGAAGCTGAGGCAGGAGAATGGCATGAATCCTGGAGGCAGAGCTTGCAGTGAGCCGAGATCGTGCCATTGCACTCCAGCCTGGGCAACAGAGCAGACTCCGTCTCAAAAATAAAATAAAATAACATAAAATAACATATCTGGTAAGTTGCTAGTCTCTAAAATATTGAAGGAACTCATATGAATCAAAGGCAAAAAAAGTAATAATAATGGTAATAGTAATAAGATTGAAAAATAAGCCAAAGCCTAAATAGATGATTTTCAATTAAAGCATACAATTGGCCAACAGGTATATAGAAAAGTGTTCAATATCACCAACCTGGCACCTAAAACCGTGGTGAGATATTACTTCACACACATTAGAATTGCTAATATCAAAAAGAAAAGTTATAACAAGTATTAACATGCATATTTTTTAAGAATACTGTACACTCTCAGTGACTTGTAATTTTTTACAGTCATGATAAAACCACCTTAAAGATTATTTAAAAAAATTTTAACAGTACTGCTATACAATCCAGCTATCTCATTTCTGCATATACTATCTCCAAGAAACATCTGCACCTCCATGCTCTTTGAATCATTATTCACAATTGCCAATATATGAAACAAACCTAAAATGTTTGTGGACAGTAACTGGATAAGGAAAACATGGTATATATACTGAACAGAATATTATTCAGCAATAAAAATAATAAAACCTTGCCATTTTGACAAGATGGATGGACCCAGATAACATTATGCCAAATGAAATATGCCAGACACAGAAAGACAAACACTGTATGATCTCACTTTTATGGAGAATATAAAATGTTTGGACTCCTAGAAGCAGAGATCATAAAGATGGGTGCTGGGGCCTGGCTGGAGGTGTGGAAAATGAGAGATGTTGTTCAAATGGTACAAATTTTTAAATTATAAAACAAATAAGTTATGGTGACCTAACGTACATCTTTATGATTATAGTTAATAATACTATTGTGTATGCTGAAAATCTGCTTACAGTTCTTAATTGTTCTAACCACAGAAAAGGTAACTATGTAAGGTGACAGATGTGTTTGTTCATTAATCTGATTGTACTAACCACTTCACTATGTATATACATATAAAATCAATACATTGTATACAATAAATACATAGGTATTCTGTTATTATTTGTGAAAAGATCCACGTTACAAATACATACATATATACATGTGTGTACATACATGTGTGTGTGTCTATATATACACACATACATATATATGAATGACACAGTCCCAGTAAGCCTCATAACTAAATAAGAGAAAATTGTAAAATGACAGTCTTTTAAAAATAACTAAAATTGAGAGCTTAATATATTCTCAGCAATGTTTTAAGCTCCTCAGTGACATAGTCTATTTAATAAATGTATGAAGTACACTGAAATGTATTACAGTTAAGGCCTTTTGCATACAGAATTTAATTTACCAATATTAGTTTATATAAAAAGGATAACATTTCAAATGACACAATTTTTGACTTTCTTATATTTAGGCAGATGCTTAGAGTTTTGATAAAATTATTGAGTATAATTTTCTATAAAATCACATTTGAAATCTCTATAGGATAGAAAATCATAAAGCAGAAATATACATCTTTTTGTGGTGTTCCTGGGATTTCTGAACCAAATCCCGACATCACCATAACTCTCATATATTTTAGACATTATCCAACAAAAATTAAAAATTGTTTAACTTTGTTTCTCAAAATACAGATATTACTGCTTCTCCCAACGCAATGGAAGAACATTCAAATCACACATTATTTTAAGTTATGAGTAAATCTTTCACTATCACTATAAACTAAAAAACAAACAAACAAAAATACCATAACTGACGGGGAAGTATATTGCTTAGAAAGTTAATGAGAATGAGACGAAAGATGCCCTTATGTCAAAACAAGAGAAAGAAATACAGGCTACTCAGAAATTATTTCCATTGGTGGAGAGCCTCTCAAACCATGTTTAAAAGTCTGGCTCCCTCCTTCACACTGGGAACTCTCATTTGTGTCAATTGCTTCATTCACTTCCACCTACCTAGGTGTTTGGCTGCTGTCTCCTGTCTCTTCACATTCCAGGACTCTTTTCCTTGCTCCAGACAGGTAATCAATTCTGACTTGGAAACAGCAAAACCTGTTTTATTAGAAAAAAAAAAAAAAATAACATGACTCTTGCTAGAACAGTCCAATTACCAATCTAGTAATGTTCTCAGTAGAGAAGAGTGAACATTATAGAAGATTCTAGAAAATTAATCCCAATATACTCTTTCCTAATAGAAACTTTAGACTATTTAGAAAGTATTTTCAATTTGTGGGTTCTTAGCTCTACTACTCAGTAATACCTAATGACAAACTTGTGGTGAAAATCTGATTTTAAGGTTGTGGCAAACAATATTTTAGGCCACTAAATTTCTGATATTACCACTAATTTACACTGAAGTATACAGATAAGCTCAAAAAAGAGAAAGATTATCATTAAGACGAAACATCTTGAAAATTTTATTTTCTATCTCAACAGATACCAGTTTTCTTTTTTTTTTTCTTTTGTGAAGTAGGATTCTGAAACTTATTCATGCAAAGCAGAAACTCCCAGAAAACAGAAGAAAATAAATTACTAAGTGTGGAATGTGAATTCTATATTTAAGTTATTCTCACCAAGAACAACAGGTTTCTGTAGTTCTCTAACATCACATTCCTATACAAATGTTGCTGAGCAGAATGAAGGCATTCCCACTCTTCTGGACAGAATTCTATGGCCACAGCCCTGAATGTCAACACTCCCTGAAAAATGTAACATATCTAGCAAGTGGTGATAGGAAGAATTCATGATTTTACATCAGGTAAACTGAGAGCAAAGAGAACTGGTTCCGTGACTGACTGGAGTTATCCAATAAAATGCTTTCTTTCCTTGCATTTTTATTTTCTTTATTTTGACAGAACTTCATTCTTGTTGCCAGGGCTGGAGTGCAATGGCATGATCTCAGCTCACTGCAACCTCCGCCTCCTCGGTTAAAATGATTCTCCTGCCTCAGCCTCCCAAGTAGCTGGGATTACAGGCATGTGACACCATGCCCAGCTAATTTTGTAGTTTTAGTAGAGATGGGGTTTTACTATGTTGGTCAGGCTGGTCTCGAACTTCTGAACTCAGGTGATCCACCCAACTCGGCCTCCCAAAGTGCTGGGATTACAGGTGTGATCCACTGCGCCCAGCCCAATAAGATACTTTCTAGCACAGAACTATTCTCTAATGTATTCTTTAGCTCTGATAAAAGAAGATGGCATATGATCCACAAAACCAGTGTATATGCAATACTTTTATTGATAATACAGTATAAAATGAAAGATATTGGAGGGGTTCAGTTAACATGGTGGGAAAAATTGTAAAATTAACACAAACCATCTTGGAAGGCCTGGGGGTTTGCATTAAGCATTTGGCTGAAGGCAGCCAGATTCTCTTTCAGGAGCCAGAGCGCTTAGGGCACAGATACATAGGAATGTAGAGTAGTTTATCTAAATTGCTTGTTTACTCACGTGGTTCTAAAACTAACCCTTGATCATTTGCAGCCAGGATGGTGCTCTGGGTGGGAGCAGGGGGATACTACCAGGTGGATTACCCTCTAATGGTGTTGACTTAAAGTCTTTGTCATTTAATGTGTTCTGAATAAATGTCTGGAAGCCAGTGAGTCAGGGCTGAGATTGCAACTCATTACAGTACACTAATTGAAGTCTGTAAGCAGCCTGGACTCTCAGCTGGACTGACAAGCATAATATCTGTGTCAGTATATGTCATTCATCTATCGTTGAGTCAGGGTCTGCAGGGCAGACCCCTGCAGGACACCAATACAGACATGCACATTTTTAAATGCTGTTTTTATATAACACAAGATAAATTGTCTATAGTCAATAAATGAAAACTTCATGGTTAGTTAGAACCATACTTCTCAAATCTTATAGTGTACAACAATGAACAGGAGCTCTTGTTAAAAGTAGACTTTGACTATGGAGATTCAGAATGAAGCTTTAGTTTCTGAATTTCTAACAAGTTTTCCAGTGGTGTCACTGCTTCTGGCCCAAGGAGAATATTTTGTCAAAAATCTAATAAGTGGCATAGCCTAGGTTTTCAGTTTATTTGACCAGTACAAAAAGATGAACATTTTTATTCTTTATAGCAAGCTATATGCCATGAGAATCTAAGAAGAAAGAAGAGCTATCAGATTAAATTTGGCTTAATCTTTTTTTTTTGCACATTAGTTGATAAATCTCTCCAAGGTACCTATTAATAATAAAAAGAAAAATAATTAACTAGAGTGGAAAAAATATGTCAGAGAGCATATTTACCAATTAAATAAAATTAACATCAACTATAATAAAATAAATTTGTGTCAGGTGCTGATGCACACAGGAGGATACAACACTACTTGTGCTGTTATTAATCCAAAAAGGTTCAACTTAATCTGAATCTAGTCAGAAAGAAACATCAGTTTTAAGCAAAGTTTAAGCTACAAATATCTCCCATGTTCTGTAATCTCTAATATATAAATAAACGTATAAGTAAGTTTATTTTTAGCATGCTAGAAGGGCAGCCTCTTGTAGTTATTTTATTTATTTATTTATTTTGAGACAGTCGCATTCTGTCACCCAGGCTGGAGTGCAATGGCACAATCTCAGCCCACTGCAGCCTCTGCCTCCCAGGTTCAAAAGATTCTCAGCCTCCTGAGTAGCTGGGATTACAGGTGCCCATGATGCCCAGCTAATTTTTGTATTTTTGTATTTTGCAGAGATGGGGTTTCACCATGTTGGCCAGGTTGGCCTTGAACTCTTGACCTCAGGTGATCCACCCACCTCGGCCTCTGAAAGTACTGGGATTACAGGTGTGAGCCACCAAGCCTGGCCTCTAATTATTTCTTATTCGGTACTTTCTGAGTTTCCCTGGGATATAAAGGCCATTCTCATTAAATGTACATTTTTTATAATTTGGTTTGCATAGAGTTAATGGAAGCTAACAGTACACTGTCTCCTTCCTCACTGATATCCAAGGGCCTGATCCCATCTCTATCAGGGATCTTGGGCATTCACAACATCCCATGTTCAACAGCCTCAAAAGGAACATTTGTAATGTTGCAGGTCATAAATTCATGGTGACAACTTTTCTTGGCTTATTAGAAGGTGGGATGTACAGAATGAAGAGAAGGTTCTAATATATAAAAAAGAAGTATTTCTCAGAGTCCCTTGACTAAGAAAAAAAGATAGAAAAATGGTTAAACTAATTAGGCACGAATATCACAAGTGGATATGTAAACATTTTCAAGTTCTACACACATGAAATTTCAGAAGGAAACGTGGACACAGTCCCTGACCTGAGACACAGAATAAGCTAGTTCTTCATTTTTCTCCTTCTGTGTGATCCCTTGCCACGTGTGATAATCTGTACAAATTACACCCACATCTTGAAAATATGCCTTTGAAGCATCAGCAAAACTCCTTCCCCTGTATCACCAAATCCACATGCAGAAGGACCTAGAATTGCAGATAAAGTCTATCCTTTTCTGTCCTTTATCACAGGAATGGTTCAGAAACTATAAACTCATATAAAAACCAAAATGTGAGCTTCCCCTTTCCAACACTCAGGTGTCCTCCTCTGCCAAAGATACCAGCAATTTCTGCCACAGCAATAGGAATATGGACCACCCATATTTGCCCATGCCAAAACCAAGCAGAGCAGTCCCTATGATCTTCATTTGGAACTAAAGCTAAACTCGCCTCTTGTGAATGTATCTGGAAGCACTCATGGTTGACCCTGGGCTCACCTTAGCCTCACATGTGGCACCTAATTAAAACAACATGGCTGCAGAGGGGAAGTGGAGCAAGATGACTAAAAAGAACCCTCTAACAATTATCTCCCTGATGGAACACCAAATTGAATGAGTATCCAAATAAGCATCTTTATAAGAACCAAAACTCTGGAGAGTGATCACAGCACCTGGCTTTAAAATCACATGAAAGAAAGAGGAACTGAACATAGGAAAAAAGAAAGCCTTGGATTCCCAAAAGCATCCTCCTTTATTCCCCAGCAAATCAGCTTGGCAAGAAGAGCAACCCTGTGTGCTTACAGAAGGGAGAATGCAATGATGAGACTCTGCAGTAAAACTCAGTGCTGACTGTCATAGCAGAAAGCAACATGGGGCAGAGTTCAGGCTGTGCCCATAGAGAAAACACTCAGAATAGCCCTAGTCAAAAAGTAATTGTCCATTTTAGCGGTCAAAAACTGAGTTTCAGGGAGTCCCACCATGGGCTAAAGCACTCTGGGGTCCCGAATAAACTTGAAACACAGGCTAAGTTACAGGGACTGCAATTTCTGGGCAAATGCCGGTGCTTTACCAGGCTCAGAGTCAGACAACTTGAAGTGCGTGTGACCTTGTAAGATATCCACAGGGATGGCCAAGGAAGAGCTTGCATCACCCTTACCCCAGACACAGGCAGTGCAGCTCAAAGATCTGAAAGAAACTTTTTCTTTCTACTTGAGAAGGGAGAAAGGACAGTAAAAAAGACACTGTGTTACAACTTGGATACCATCTAATCCACAGTAGAATATGGCACCAGGAAAAGTCCTGAGGCCCCCATTCAGGACATAGCTCCTGGATGACAATTCTAGACACATCCTGAGCCAGAAGAGAACACATTACCTTGAAGGGAAGAACCCAGTTCTGGCAAAATTAGTCACCTGCTGACTGCAGAGCCCTTGGGCCTTGAATAAACATCAACAGTGACCAGGTAGTACTTACTGGAGGCCTTGAGTGAGACCCAGTGGTGTGCAGAATTCAGGTATGGCCCAGTGCAATCCAAGCTGTGGCAGCCATGTGGAGACACCTCTGCTTGAGGAAAGGAGAGAGAAGAGTAAAGGGGACTTTGTTTTGAAGTTTGGTTACCTGCTCAGCAGTAGAGGGGTAGAGTAGTAAGTGGCTCCTGAAGTCTCTGATTTTAGGCCTTGGCCCCTGGATGGCATTTCTGGAAGCACCATGGGGCAGATGGAAGCTCACTACCCTGAAGCAAAAGATGCAGGCCTGGCAGAGTTCACCACAGCTGACAGAAGAGCCCTTGGGTCTCCAGTGAATATCAGGAGTAGCCTGGCTGTACTTGCTGTGGGCTTTGGGTGACGGTGGCCACAGAGAGTGGCACCATATGCTTGAGAAAACGAAGAAGAGAAAGGATGTTGTCTCATGGCTTCAATGCCAGTTAAGCCACAGCAGAATAGGGCACCAAGTAAATCAAAGTTCCTGATTCCATGCTCTGGCTACCAGATGGCATTTTGTTACGTTCCAACCCAGGGTGCGTAACAAAGCTGACTGCCCTGGAGGAAAGGACATGGGCCTGCTGGATTCACCACCTCCTGACTGATGAGAACTTGGGCCTTGAGTGAACATTAGTAGTAGCTGGGCAGTGGTCATGGTGGGCCTTGTGTGACACCCAGTCCTGTGCTGGCTTTGGGTCCGAAACAGTAAAGACCTAGTGATGGTGGCCACAGGGGTACTTGTGTCACCCCTACCCCAGCTCTAGGCAGCTCAGCATGAAGAGAGAGAGACTCCATTTATTTCGCAGAATGTAAGAAAACAGAAAAAGAGTTTCTACTAGTCTGCAAGTATCACAGTGTTGCTGGGACTATGGTTTACCCTAATGCAGCTATGACTGCAATGACCAGAAACTTAAATTACAACACTCTATTCTCTTTGAATTATTGGAAAGCCTTTCTAAGAAGAACAGGTATTAAAAAAGCAGATGCAAAG